CTCGTTTTCTTCGAAGCTAGATTCGACGAGAATTGAACTCAAGCTTAGAACAACTGAAGCTGTCTGAACACGCGTATAACTTTGAATAAAATATCTAATAACATTATACGTTACACGTGACGCCAACGCGGTTATTTATAGAACGTTTGTGCAGCGTCATCAGAATGAAGTCGTTGTCATGGAAACGAACGTTGACCTCGCGCTTAACCCGACGTACGGCGTTTGCTTGACTTTTTTTTCGAGTATATAGTCGTCGCCCGTAATGAAACGGTAGTCATTCCTAGCGACAATACTGACGCCGGTGCTGGCGTCACACACGCCGGTATGCGTGTTTAATATTTCAGCGCGCGTCATGCATATGCTTATATATATATATATATAGCAATACGGAAACGGAAAACAACAGAAAATGCAACTGCCCAAAAAACGTAACGTCCCCCAGGGATGGAAGCTGCCTTGCTAAAAACATAGTATACCTAGCAACAGTGACAAGCGAAAACAAAACAGAAACTTACGTCGGAATAACAGCCACCTCCTTCAAAGCAGTACTAGCATCCTTCACTACGGAATCAAAACGGAACTCGACAGAACTTAGTAAACATATTTGGAACTTGAAAGACAACAACATAGACTACGCGACCAAATGGAAGATACAAAGCAAAGCGCCACACTACTCGATCACTACGAAGAAATGCAACCTATGCAACAGAAAAGTTCTACATGTTGTGCAAACCTGAGATCGCTCCAAAAACACTCAAAGAGGTTGCATATAAGTCATTAGTTCGCTCAAAATTGGAATTCGCATCTATTGTTTGGGATTCCTGGTCAAAAACATTAATAAGTTGGAAAAAGTTCAGAGAAGGGCAGCCAGGTTCGTATGTAGAGACTACCGGCGTGACAGTATAGCGTTACTGAAATGCTAGGAACTCTGAATTGGCCTTCTCTTGCTCAGCGGCGGAGCGATAGCGCATATAGCATTCATGAAGAAGATGATGTCTTCTTCAGTGGCGGTACCAGCAGATCAGTATACCAAACCTGGACCTCAGCGAACACGCAGGAAGAACAGTCAGAAACTTCAAACAGTGCGAGCCAACACCGAAGAGTTTCGCCATTCCTTCTTTCCGAGAACTATTCAACAGTGGAACCAGCGTACCGAGGCCGAGATAGACCTTATCTGTTCCACTGCCGC